TCTTATATACCAAGGCAAGTCAATCCGCCATTTTCTCCATTTTAAAGTTGAAAAGGTACGTTGCTCAGCAAACGTTTTAAGAGTTTTAAACTTTTTCTTAAGAAAAGAATCATAGCATGAGATTAAATTAAATTACACATGCGCGTTACACTTCTGCTGCCGTGTTGGGAACATTCCCCGTGGAGTGTAAATATGCCACGTTATTTGTCAAAAGTCACTAATTAATATGAATTGGCCATTAACGTGGCTTGAAATTTTATGATGGTCTCTGTTAACGATCTCATTATAGAACTCCAGATCTCAGATGCTCTGAATTAAAGATTAGCAACCAGACTTTTCTTATTTCTTTTTCTTTTTTTTTATTTTTAACGAAGCTGGCATTCTGCCTCTTGAGGTAAATTTGAGGCCTGGTACCGAGAGCCCAGTCTCCTGGCCCATGTCCCTTCCCTTAGCTTGTCACAGGTCGAGCTTCCAGGCGGTGACGAATCCTGATCGCAGTTCCGGAAATGGATACATGGTATCTAATGTGTAACGTGGGGACGAGAGAACCCTCTGGATACTGGCCCGAGTGTATTCTGAGCACCCTAACTAAGGCTGGCTCTGTCGACAGAAAGGAAAAGGAATTTTTAACAACTCCTGGCAAATAAGCCGAGGGACGTGATGACGCCTGTCGCATCCGGCTTCCTCGCTCCGGGTTTAACAGCAGCCACGGGGTTTCTGCCCCGAGATGGACGTAACCCACACCTTCCCCGTCGGTTCATATTTAAACGCGAAGGGTTGATTTTTTTTTTTTTCCTCCCGAACTTGATTTTCTTACCTCTTTCGGAATTGGTTCTGTTCATTTTTCTCTTTATTGCTTATCTCTCTAGTAGCTTTCTCTCTGCTCGTTTTAAGTAACGAGAATGCAAAACTCATATTCTCACGAAAGCTCTGTGAGTAACTGCATTACCTCGTCGCCGCTTGTGCGTTTCCGGCCACGACTCCGACGGACGCTGATTGCTCAGCTGTCCACGCCCCGCCTTGTGTCACTTGTCGCTGGCTCCTTACTTTTCCCTCCGCAGCCCGCCCTGTCTCGCCTCTGCTCCCGGGACCCCGGCCTCACTCCTTGACTCTCAAACGAGTCCTCCTCTGTCTGTGCGGGTTCTGTTCGGTCTTGATACACGCATCCCATTTTTCCGACGGTTAAAACCGCAGGCTTCCATGCCCGATTTTCCTTCGCGATGTATAAATTCCTGATATCTCACAAGGATATGTTATGTAAAATTATATCTTGGGCTTTTAAAAACATTTGTGAGTTTATCTTAAATAATTTTGCTGCTCGTGGGGGTCTCCTCAAATGCAGAGCATGCCGGGAAGGCTTGACTTCGTGACTCTGCCATTTTACATGTTTTGACGGGCTGATGTTTGTCATCCATCCTGGATGTTGGTGTCTTGTACCGTGGAAATAATCATGCCAGTCTTACCTGGGTGTCGAGAGGATTAATTAATAGGACTACGAAAGGAATTTGTAAGTAGGATGCATTTTCCGAATGCGAGGCAGAATTTTGAACGCCATCGTATGCAGAAAAAGTGGAATCACCCACTTTCTTGTTTGTGAAGGCATGTGGCCGTGCGTCCCCACTGAACCATCCGCTCCAGTGTCATTCTGTGAAGTGAAGTGAGCGTCCCCGGTGAACAGCAGCGTGGCGGGGAGCAGAGCTCCGGCTGTAACAGTTTTCTGAACGAGCCTGCCTCTCTGCAGCGGGAACTGCGACTTTCATTTCCTGGAGCACAGGTGGCCTGTCCCCCCCAGGGACAGTGACTCCCGCTGGTCAGTGAGAGAGGCCACTGCTGAACGTATGCGGCTAGCTGTGGCATCGGGGGACAGGCTTGCTGGGGGCAAGGACGGGCTTCCGCGGAGCTGCTGTTCGTTGTCCTTGTCCACGGGGACACCGGGTGCCGTCCTGTGAGTGAGCAGACCAGACCATGGGACCTGACGGGATGCAGTCTGGAGCTAAACCCGCGGAAACGTGGGAGCTGCAGGCATTCGGCGAGCACTCGCCATAAGCTCTTCGAAGCGCCGATTAGAACGCTAGACATTTCCGACAGAACCATGGTGGCAGCGCTCTGATTCTCTCTAATGGAGGGAGCGTGAGTGCGTACGCTGAATTGCCTGCTTTTAGGCTGGAGATAATGGCTGAATCTAAAAGCAAAAAAAAAAAAAAAAAACCCCCCCCAAAAAAAAAAAAAAAAACAAGTGAGACAAAAGCTAGAAAAATAAGCACACAGTGCAGAGTCAGTCCCGACATGTCCCCAGGCACCTCCAGGGCCTGCTCGCTTTCACCTCGAGAGGGCTGACAGCAGTGCACTTTTTAGGGTGCAGAGTCGGTCCCGACACGTCCCCAGGTCCCTCCAGGGCCTGCTCGCTTTCATCTTGAGAGGGCTGGCTGCAGTGCACTTTCTGGAATGAGAAACAAGATCTGATTCCCAGACCAAAAGAAAAACAAAAAAACAAAATAACAAAAAAACAGAGTTAAAGAAAGAGATGGCATTTGAGATCTTCCTGGAAAAAAAGCCAGTGCCGATTAGTGACAGCGGCAGAGGGGCCGGCGGGGGAGCCACCGCGACGCTTCCTGTGCAGACGCCGCCCGCGGGGCCCTCTGGTGCTTTCCGTCCACCTTCGTTTCCATGTGTCTGCAAACAATGGTCTGTGTCGGTGTCTGTCCTGGAGGCGCGCGTGGCACGAAACGTTAGTTGTTCGGTAGACGTGTCGGGGTCCTGCTCGTGGCAGGCGCTGGCACCAACGGCTGCCGAGATCCCTAAGCCGCCCCCCGTCCCCCACCCTGCTCCTGTTCTGCTAAACGGGAAGTCGTGTTCGTTAGCCTGGCAGCCCACCTCGCAGAAGGGCCGAGGATGAACGCAAGACGATGGAAGGGCATCCGGTCTCCTCGGAAGAAAGAAACGACGTGACTATGAGACTCGTTTGAAGTCGGTGGCCCGTAATCCTTCAGCCTTTATGGTAGAAAGAGGGGAGACATGCATGGGGGAGAGGGTCTACAGAGCGGGATCAAAGCTCCTCGAGGCCAGGGAACGGAATAGCTGCAGCCTCCAGCCCCCGCCACCCGCGTGAGTCCCTGCCTCCCTGGTCCCCGAGTCCCCTGAGGCATGGAAGACCCCTTGCATGAAGGCCTCTTCAGTCTGCCACGCGAGTGAAAATGAGAAATAATGAGTATGAGGGCCAGAGCCTGACGGGAAGGGTTCAGTGCTGCCCGAGCGTCGGCTTTGGGGGGTGGGAGGTTCCTCGCGGGGGCGTCCGGGGCTCGGGGCGGCGAGGGGAGAAGGGCCCCTGCACGTCCCATCCCGAGAGGGGTGGCGCTCCAGCCACACACCCCCGGGGGCGTCAGCCCACCCTTCCTCGCCCGCTCGCCTCGTCTCTCTCTCTTCTGCTCATTAGTCGTTCTGCTCTTTCAAGAATCAGTTAATGTAATTAACTTCTAACATCTCTGGGGGACACAAGGCACGCTCCACGTGACGAGGCTCGGTCGCAGGACATACTCGTTTGCGATTGAAATGAGGATGACAGACGTCCTTTCCCGCTCTCCCGCGGGTCCTGAAAATGTTCTTGGCAAACATCCTTTTCTGAAATTTTTAGTAATTTTTAGTTGTAGAAACGGGGCTTGAAAAAAATCTTGCCGGAGGATCATTCTGCCAGTGTTTCCAGAATGCAATAAGCACGAAATGCTACAGGCCATTAGTTCAACATGGCAGCTAGCGCTTTTACCATTTAGGAAATTAAAATTAATGGGTGAGGCCGTTTTTATAGAAAGCCGGGTGAGTAATCGCGCCGGAGCCACGGTGAGCGCTGTGTTACGGATAACGGCAATGTGCATCGGAGTCATTTGAAATCGGAGCTTCTAAATGGCATTCTCCTTTCTTAGCTGTGTGCAGGTGGAAAGTCTTGCTTTAAAACTGAACTGCGTTTTAGGGACCGCAGGCTTTCGCAGAGTATTTGTTTAAATACTTTGTTCAAAAAAGCAGTCGTTCGGCTATTGAGCATACCTTCCGTGCCAGGCATTGGGCGAGGCACCAAGATTACCGCTAACGAGAAGGACAGCAGCACATCCCTGTTGGGTGCTGTCCCCGGGCTGGGCGCCGTCCAGCACCATGATCTGCCTGACCCTCACGATAGCTTTGTGGCACCGAAATGGAGTTCATTGCCCTAAGGTCTCCCTTATAAAATGGCAGGGCAGGACTCCGCCCTGAGGCCGTGCCTCGTGGCATTGCCGCCCCTGCTCGGAGCATCTGGAAAGAAAGCGGACGGGTAGAGAGATGGTTCCAGCAAAGCATGATCAGCCGTGCAGAGAACTGTGAGAGGCCACAGGAAAACGGTGCCTGGTCCTACCTGGGAAAATCAGAAACCGTGATGCCGACGCCCCGCTTCGAAGGATGAGGGAGTGAGTCGGAGGAGGCGGGCGGAGGGGGCTGCCTGGAGGAAGCGGCACGTGCACGGGCTCAGGAGCAGGAGGGACTTCGGTGTGTTCTGGGAACCGTCGGGAACTGTGAGGACTCGGGAGGGAGAGCAGGGGCGGCTGGAGCCGGATGTGTCAGCGTTTGGGCTTCGTTTCTACGTGTCGACCGAGCGGTCGCGGGATCGGAGTCGCATGCTGGGAATGTCGCCGGCGGGGGTAAGAGCTGAGGACGCGCGGGGTCCTGGAACTCGGGTACGGAGGATGGTGAGAATCCGGGCAGCTCATCACGAGAGCGTGCACCGCGGTGCCGCGGTGAAGACGCAGGGAAGGGGCTGACAGGAGCCGGCGACCGTGAGAAGCATCTCTCCTTAGAGTCCAGCTGAATCCTGGGGCGGGGTCTCGCCGACGCCCTCCGTGTGACGTGTTCGTGTATGAACGAGGTTCGGCGGCCAGGTCAGTGAGGCCTGGGCTGCTTGTCCGCGCCTGAGCCCCAACCAAACCACGGGACCGGGGTCAGGGAGGGAGGACGGGGGTGTGGCGCGAGGTGTCGGATGCGACGTCACTGCTCCGACGGGCTCCGCAGGCGCCCACGTCCAGTCTGTGCAGCCTTTCCTCGCTGGAACAAGGGGGGCGACACCTGCCCTCTCCGCGCGTGGGAGCGGATGCCGGACGTCCCCCGAACACAGCCCCGGCCTCGTCCCTGCTCACAGCCCCGACATGGCCTCCGAGTCCTGCAGGGCAGAGGCCGGATCCCGGGCTGACCAGCGCCCGCCGTCCCAGCAGCTCCGCCCTCTGCCAGCACCTGCTGCTGGACTCAGGGTCCCCAGTGCCCCCACCGCGGACGGACGCCCCAACTCCAGATGCCTACTCCTGTCGCCTCGGCCTGAAGGTGCCCCTCCCCACAATCCGCCCTCAGGGGACCTGCCTGCTGCCTGTGCCCCGCCCCCCCATGCACCCC